ACAGACTCCTAAGGGGCTAAATAATTTCAAAACCTAAAGTTTGTTGGCAGTTGAAGAAGAATGAAAAAGAGCCCCACAGCTTAATTCTTCAACTATTTATCTCACTGTCAATTTCAGGCTTTTCTACTACTTACTGCATATGCTATTCTGATCCCCATCACTTCAGTCTGTTTTGTGACACATGTTGAACTCATTTCCTCAAGAGTCATTATTTCCAATTTGCTGCTTCCATTTTTATGCAGAACCCCCTTCTCAAATGCTGTGTACTTTGCAAAAATTTTTACTAAGGGTTGGGAAGAGTTGTACCTACAAATAGTATGATAAAGAGTATTACACAGCTCTTCATACTATTGCATCAACACAGTAAAATATTATACACCTGCTGGGAATGTGGCTTAGTGGTAGAGTGCTTGCCTAGTATACATGAAGCCCTGGGTTCGATTCCTCAGTACCAGAGAAACAGAAAAGGCCAAAAGTGGTGCTGGTGGCTCAAGTGGCAGAGTGCTAACCTTGAACAAAAGCAGTTCAGCAAAAAGTGCCCCGTCTCTGAGTTCAAGCCCTATGACTGGCAAAAACACCACCACCACCACCTCTAATATCATAGATTCATCAAACTGCAGCTAGAAAGTTAGAGGAAATTAAATTACACAATGTAGTGTAATTTTAAAGTTAGAGGAAAATATAGATTTTTAGTGTCACTTTGAAGCTAAAACAAAATTACAGGCTTTAAATACAAGGTTCAAACAAGAGTCTATCAAACTCCTTATCTGAACAGTAAGAGTAGTTCAGATAAATTTGAGTGTACATGTTCTTTTGCTGGTTTTTATCAGAGAAAGAAACTGTATTTTTAGATGAATCATGAGAATTTTACTTTCAATTGTCCTTCCTCCATAAATAACCAGAATTATTCTTGTTTTTCTTCTACTTCAGTAACTCTTTAGAATATTCCAATTATCTCAATGCCAATTAAATGTTCAATGATGCTGACCTACATTGAGGATCCTGACTAAATACATTAAAATATTTTTGAAACAGAAAGCTATATAAATCATTCCTTTTATTTAGGTGGTACAAAAACTTACACACAGGGTCTCACACTCACTTGGCTTCCTTGTTCATGACTGGTGCTCTACTTCAGCCATGCCTCCAGCCATGCCTCCAGCCCATGCTTTCAGCTCTTTAATTGGAGATAGAATCCTAGCCTTTTCTGCCTGGGCTGACCTTGAACATAATCCTTCAGATTTCAGCCTCTTCAGAGTAGCAAGGATTACAGGTATGACCAAGTAATGGCTAGCCATTAAGTATTATTGATATTTATTACATAGAGTGTCTCTTCTATTAATGCATAAGACATACAGTAAAAGACAGAAACAGTATCCCATAGTTAGAAAGATCTAATAGTTAGAAAGAATCTAATATATGAACTTAAACAGAGTTGATTCTTCTATTCCTAAGGTTTAAAACTCTTATGGCAACTACCATGAGAATTACTGGGAAATCATCTGCAATTAAGGAAAAGAAATATCTGGGATTCATGTGGAAAGCAGGAGAAATTGAGGAACTAATTTCAGAGTAGTTCGACTTCTGATTCTAACTACACAAACTAAAGGCAAGAAGCTATTACTTAGCAGATCCGAATAAACATTCTGGCTTTTAACTTTGGTTTTTATTTTGTTGTTAATGAGTTTAAGTTCCATAGCAATTCACAAAGTAAAACTGACATCTTGGACTGCATTAGCAGAAGTATAGCATTCAGTAAGCTTTGTATACATTAGACTAAATTTAAGCTATCACAGCATTCATTTATGATGTTTACAATTTCATATTAAAAAGGAAAAATGAACAAAATATCAGAAAAAAATTAGAAAATGCTGAAAATATAAAGCCAAGTTAAATAATCCAATATGTCAAACCTGGAAAAGACTGGTTAGTGGGACTGTGAACAGACATATAAATGTTCTCAAAAATAATAATAAAAAAAAGCTCATTAGTGGAGTGCTAGAATGAGGAGGGATGGAAAGGAGTGGAAGAAGAGGGACAGGAGAAAGGTACACAGGAGAGGAATAAAACTGTTATAAATATTAGAATAAAACCACACTTAAGTGTAGAACAGGGAGATAAACAGCTGCTGGTTTTATGAAAGAACTAACTGCCCAAGGCAAAGAAGGACTTAAAAATAGCTCTAGAAAGGACTGCCCTAAATAATCCCTAATTCTAAAAAAATTCTTTTAAAGTTTGTGTGTTAAATGCATATATTTTATTGTGATTTTTTTCTCTAATAGAAGACTAAATATATTTCTAATTTTATGTTAACATAGTCTGAAAATCCCAATGACAAATAATAAAAATGGCATTATACTACTACAAAAAGGTAAAAATCAATGGAGCTTTGACATTCAGAGGATGAGAGTATTTACATTATCATATAAAAATTCATAATTTATAGATCTGAGAATCATTCAGTTGGAAAAAGTCTAATGAACTACATTCTAAAAGATTGAACTTCCGAGAAATGTTGTTTCAAGTACATTCCAAGAATGTACTTCAAAGAATTTAATACAGGGACTGGGAAGGTGGCTCAGTGGTAGAGTGCTTGCCTTGCATGCCTGAGGCCTGGGTTCGATTTCTCAGCACCACATAAGCAAAAAGAAAAAAGCCAGAAGTGGCACTGTGGCTCACATGGTAGAGCGCTAGCCTTGAGCTGAAGAGCTGAGGGACAGCGCCCAGGCCCAGAGTTCAGGCCCCACGACTGGACTCCCCCCCAAAAAGAATTTAATACAGCCTTCCTACTATACTCAGCTTTCTTTAGATTCAACATTATGTTAACAAAAAAAGAAAAAGGAAAGGACTAAGAAAAGGAAAAGAGCTAGGTGCCAGTGGCTCACGCCTGTAATCCTAGCTACTCAGGAGGCTGACATCTGAGGATCACAGTTCAAAGCCAGCCTTGGCAGGAAACTCCATGAGACTCTTATCTCCAATAAACAACTAGAAAACCAGAAGTGGTGCTGTGGCTCAAGTGGTAGAGCACTCGCCTTGAGCTGAAGAGCACAGGGAGTTCAAGCCCCATGACCCACAAATAAATAGTATGGATGAAAATCTCATCAGCAATTCAACAAAGAGTTAATATTCAGAATATGCAAAGAGCTCAAAAACATAAAAGAACTAAGAAATGTACTCATTATCTTGCCCATGTAATTGTAACCCCTCTGTACAGTATTTTCACAATAAAAAAATATAAAAGAACAAATAATCCAACTAATGAATGAACAAATGAATTGAACAGAAAATGGCTGATAAATGAAGAAATGCTCAACATCCTTAGTCATAAAGGAAATGCAAATCAAAACTACACTAAGATTCCAGCATTCACCAGGAAAACAAATAAAAACAAATATAGGCAGGACAGTCTTTTTCTATTCTATTGGTGGGGATGTAAATTATTATAACTGACTCTGTAAAATCAGTATGGCAGTTTCCAAACTTCAAAACAGACCTTTTTATGACCTATTTATTGTATATTAATATAATTTTCATGTGTTGCAAAATATTTCTTAACTTTTTTTTAGCCATTTCCTTACATTGTTGAATGAGTTAATGGATTATGCCAGTTATTAACTGAAATCCCAGGAAAAGCTCTCACAGACACAACCAAGTGAGTTTACCAATCTCCTAGGCATTTCTAAATCTAATCACCTTGATAAGATAAACTACCACAGAAGTTTTAACTGCTAAGACTGTTTTTTAAACCAATACATTGACTGTACACTTTGAACATCATATTCTAATTACAGAACTACAGAGAACTTTTTCACAGCACAACTAAATAATATACAAATAATACTCTATAATATTTTCAAAGTATGGGGCTGGGAAGGTGGCTCAGTGGTAGACCGCTTGCCTTGCATGCATGAGACCCTGGGTTCGATTCCCCAGCACCACAAAAGCAAAAAGGAAAAAAGCCGGAAGTGGCACTGTGGCTCAAGTGGTAGAGCGCTAGCCTTGAGCTGAAGAGCTGAGGGACAGTGCCCAGGCCCAGAGTTCAAGCCCACGACCGGACCCCCCCCAAAAAAATTTTTTTTTCAAAGTAATGCAATACAGAAAGAAAATGGACTTGATTTTGCCATATAGTTTTGCTTAAACTTTAAAAAACTTTAAAAGGAAATGAGAGTTTTGATATAGTGTGTCAACTGAGTTGTCACCAAAGTATACAGTTCAGAAAAGAGTACCTGGGGCTAAATATAGTTGGATTTCTAATATTTAAAAAGTAATCAAAACATGTATATTTGTATATAGACACAAATGTACATATTCATGTACTTACAAACCAACAGATATATAATATGTATGTTTTTCCATTCTCTAAAGCTTCTTTTTTTTTTTTTTTTTTGTCGGTCGTGGGGCTTGAACTATGGGCCTGGGCACTGTCCTTCAGCTCTTCAGCTCAAGGCGAGCGCTCTACCACTTGAGCCACAGCACCACTTCCGGTTTTCTGGTGGTTTATTGGAAATAGGAGTCTCTTTCCTGCCTGGGCTGGCTTTGAACCATGATCCTCAGATCTCAGCCTCCTGAGTAGCTAGGATTACAGGCATGAGCCACCAGCGCCCGGCTTCTCTAAAGCTTCTTGAAGCAAAGATCATTAGTCAGGAAGTGTCTACAGTATGCAACAATGGTGATACTTCAACATTTTGGATATAATGAGGAATTAGGAGTTTTTAAACACAGGAATTAATGTCTTATAAAACAACTAAAATACAAGTAGAACTTACATAGTATTAGTCTACATTTCTTTTGTCCCTTGCTGCCTATACTAAAAACTAAAAACAAGATATAACTAGTACACAGTGGCCCATTTTAATTTTCCAACACTGTCTAATGATTAGAAAACTAATAGTGAAATAGAAAGTGATTTGATACACACAAACATTAACAGCAAAAACACCCTGGTAAGATTAAACAACCTAGTTACTAAACTGAACTTACATGTGCACCTTCTTTCTTACCTTATCAATCCTATCTGGGCGATTAGTAGCTGCCAAAATGGTTACATCTTTTAACTGTTCAATTCCATCCATTTCTGTTAAGAGTTGTGCCAAAACACGGTCAGCCACATTCCCAGAACCTGAAGAACTGAGGTTAAAAATACTGTTTTAAACATCTGTTTATACTCATCCTCCAATACTTCATCTACTATAGTTATTTTACTTTATGTTGTTTTATTGTATGCTGGTACTGAGGCTTGACCTCAGGGCCTGGTGCTTGCAATCCTTTACCTTTTTCCCTTCAAGGCTGGTGCTCTACCACTAGAACTATAGCTCTACTTCTGGTTTTTGGTGGTTAACTAAAGAGTCTAAACTTTTCCTGCCCAGGTTGGCTTTAAATTGTAATCCTTTAATCTCAGCCTCGTGAGTAGCTAGGATTACAAGCATGAGCTACCAGCACCTGGTGGCATCTACTATTTTTAAAAGAATTGTTATTCTGTAAGAATAATGTACAATTCAAACAATAAAGTACACGTGTGACAGATCATTAAATTACTACATTACCAAACAAAAATAATAGTCAAATGATTAACTTTCCCCATCAAACATGCTTTTGCTCTCCAATATCAAAATGATAAATGACAATCAACACTGAGAAGCAGGACTTATCAAGTATTTCAAATGGTTTATTCACCAAAACATGGTTGTTTAAAGCAAAAATGTACATTCTGCATGTCAAGTAAACTAACAAGAAAATGTCCATTTTCAGCAGGTATGAATATACAATAACTTTGAAAGATAGTTTGGCAGGCTATTTTTTTCAAAACAAAAGATCCTCATAGTACTGGGACATGGTGGCACATACATAACTGTCATCCAACCTGTAGGAAGCTGAGATTAGGAAGGCTGAAGTTCCAGGCCTACTCTGGATAAAAGAAACACCATTTCCTGAGCTTCCATTTCCACAGAAGAAGCTGGGCTTAATAGTATGGACTAGTGCTCACTGTCATCTAGGCATATACCCAGGTATTAAAAAGCAAGACAGAGTAGTACTGTGGCTCAAGTGGTAGAGCACTTTTCTTGAGCTGAAGAGCTCAGGGCCAGCACCCAGGTCCAAAGTTCAAGCCCCAAGACCACCACCACTAAAATGTTTGCTGGGCACCGGTGGTTCATGCCTGTAATCCTAGATACTCAGAAAGCTGAGATCTGAGGATCGTGGTTCAAAGCCGGCCCAGGCAGGAAAGTTCATGAGACTCTTATCTCCAATGAACCACCAGAAAACCGGAAGAGGCACCGTGGCTCAAGTGGTAAAGCACTAATCTTGAGCTGAAGAGTTTAGGGACAGTGCCCAAGCCCAGAGTTCAAGCTCCATGACCTTAAAAAAAAAAAAAAAAGCAGCAAGACAGTAACCAGTACAAACAGGGCTGCAGGTGGGGCTTCAGGTGTGGCCAGCTCTAGGCAGGATTCAAATTCAGCCCAGCTAGGTGTTACTAGTGAGGGGAGGGGAGCAAGCCAACTACTATATTACTTAGTATTGAACAGAAAGGATGAAAGATTTGTTTGCACAAAAATTCATATACAAATGTTTCTAGAAGCTTTATTCATAATTGCTAAAGCTTGGAAGGAACCAAATGCCATTTGAAAGGTGAATGAGTAAACTGGTTCATTCAGATAATGGAATACTAAACGGAAAACACTGAAATTAACTTTCAAGCATAAAGACGTATGGGAAAAACATTAAATGCACCCTACTACATGAGAAAAAGGCAACACAAAAAGAACTATACCCTGAAGACTTCCAGCTATAGAAATTTTGTATAGGGGGGCTGGGAAGGTGGCTCAGTGATAAGAGCGCTTGCCTTGCATGCCTGAGGCCCTGGGTTCGATTCCTCAGCACCACATAAGCAAAAAGAAAAAAGCCGAAGTGGCGCTGTGGCTCAAGTGGTAGGTAGAGCACTAGCCTTGAGCTGAAGAGCTGAGGGACAGCACCCAAGCCCAGAGTTCAGGCCCCACAACCGGACCCCCCCCAAAAAGAAAGAAAGAAAGAAAGAAAGAAATTTCGTATAGGAACACTAAGACATGATGACAACAAAGAATCTACACAGAAAGTAAGAGGATCAGTGTTGTTAAGACATGTAAATGGAACAGGAGGTAAAGATGTGTCACCTTTTATCATTATAGATATTCTATTTACCATGAGTTGTTGTTTTTATTTATCTTTAAGGCATTTCTTTGATCTAAATATACTTCATTTCTCCCTGAATTTTGATACAACAGGAGAAAAAAGAAAAAAGGTAAGATTACAATCCTGAGCCACCAGCGTCTGGCTCAACCAATTTTTATATTGAAGAAACACATCTCACAGAGAAAGACAAAGACTTAAGATGAAAGGATGGAAAAAGATTTGAGCAAATGGACCTCTGATAAAACAGACTTTCAATTAAAATCTGTAAATGGAGTCAAGGAAGGGTACTTCACATTAATAAAAAGAAAATCCAGGGCTGGGAATGTAGCTTAGTGGTAGAGTGCTTGCCTAGTATGCATAAAGCCCTGAGTTCAATTCCTCAGTACCACATAAACAGAAAAAGCTGGAAATGGTTCTGTGGCTCAAGTGGTAGAGTGCCAGCCTTGAGCAAAAGAACCGTAGGGACAGTAACCAGCCCCTGAGTTCAAGCCTAGGACTGGCAAAAAAAAAACCACCAAGAGGAAGTTAACAGACATTCACCAAATAGTGAATACACACCAGTAAAACGGGGGAAACTCCCAAACTTCAGGATGGTATAATTGTTTAATTCTAAAGGAAAATCTGGGAAGTGGCCCTGTAGTTCAAGTGGTAAAGCTAGCCTTGAGCTGAAGAGATGAGGGAGAGCACCCAGGCACAGAGTTCAAGACCCACAACTGACAAAAAACAAAACAAAACAACTGTTTATAAGGTGAATGTCCAACTCCGCTGATAACCACATTGATTATAACTTCTAGTTCCTCTGATCCTCCATTCTCTTATTCATAGTAATCCAATACTTAATATATACGTAAGTCATATACATAAGTCCTTACAGTTTCTAAATTCTTTGATTATGTAGCATGTAAGTGAAGTTACTTCACTGTTTTAAATTCTTCATATTCAAAAACATGCTGCTAATATCTCTAGCCATTTGTAACCAGGGAGAGGACAATCAATGTATTCAATTACTGTTTTGTATAGGAAGAAAAGGTGGTTGCAATTACTGCTGAAGATTGGAGTAAAGGGCATTGTTTAGATTCTTAATGTCCATACTGCCTTTATTTCTCTCTTATCTCCCCAGATGACTGACAACTAGCTGGAGACTGGCATAGAAAAAATGTTTTATGGGCAGAGAAATAATTTTGGCTGACTTTCAAAGATTTACCATAAACCATAAAACTGACAGCTAGGAAATCAAACCCAACTCTAGGAAAAAGTTCATGTACAAATGTTCAATCATTAATGTGACAAAATGATTTCTCAAAACTTTATAATCTGCTTGAAATAGACAATATGACATTTGAAAAATGAAAGCATTTAACTATAGAAATATTAAAGCCAATGGGACCAATTCTGTGGCTTGAATTCAAGGCCTGGCCACTGTCTTGAGGATTTTTTGCTCAAGAAGAGCACTCTATCATTTGAGCCACAGTTCCATTCCTGGCTTTTTGGTGACTAATTGGAGACAAGCCTCACAGACTTCCCTGCCTGGGCTAGTTCTGAATTGTGAGCCTCAGATTTCAGCATACAGAGTAGCTAGTATTACAGGTGTGAGCCACTAGAATCCAGCTTTAAAGCAAGACTTTCATAAAATAATTCTTTCCTTTCAGAAGTCAAATCACTTTTCTGAATTATTCCTATTCAAAATGCCATGGACCAAAGGGACAGTGTGATATGTTAAAGGATCAAATATGGTTAGCCAATCATTTGTTCATTTGGTTATATATTTTCCATGGATTCTCTGTACCACATAGCAGCTAAGAACAAGTATAGCAGCCTGGCGCCGTGACTCACACCAGTAATCCTAGCTAGTCAGGAGGCTGAGATCTGAGGATCAAGATTCAAAGCCAGCTAGGGCAGGAAAGGCTATGAAACTCTTATCTCCAATAAACCATCAGAAAACCGGAAGTGGCACTCTAGTTCAGGTGGTAGAGTACTAGCCTTGAGCTGAAGAGCTGAGGGACAGCACTCAGGTCCAGAGTTCAAGACCCACAACTGACAAAAAACAAACAAACAAACACAAGTATAGCAGAAAATATGGCTCCCAGAGGTAAGAATACCTAGTAACTGCTAGTTACGGAAAAGATGTGCTAACACCTATCATATAAGTTTGAAATACAATTCAACTATAGGTGAAAATAGCACAAGAACCATATTGAAAACTTCTTTGTGATGCAAAGGGGTCAGTGTGGAGAAATAGGCTCTGCTGGAGGACAGTTTACTAGTTGGTCAGGGTTAGGCTGATAAGGGGGATGACGGAGGATGAATATGATTGAAGAACGATTGTTTGCATGTGTGAAACTAGAACAATTGCTGAAATTGTTTTAGGGAAGAGGTAAGGAAGAATGATAAAGGAGATAATACAGGTTGCAATATATTTAGTGTATGGATTATATGGATGGAAATGTCACAATAAATTAATCACCTCCTCCTCTACACACACACACACACACACACCTGATTTTAAGAAAGAAAAATAATTTTGTTATATGGGAATAGAATAAGGAGTGGCATTACCAAAACAAAACAAACCTTACTGTGACAATACTAAAATTTTCAAAACTAATTGCAAAGAAATCATTCACATAATTGCTTTTGAATTCTAATAAAATAATTCCACCCTACCTCTGTATGAGACTTTTAATTTATAGATCAGTGTCTTATACATCTTTCTTTTGGTAATGCTGGGGTTTGAACTCAGTCTCTACACCTGCTCTATTTGCTTGCCCAGCTGGAATTCTAACCACACTGAACCACACACTTCCACAGCCTATAATTCCTTTAAATTCTAAGGGCTTCTTTCTATTCTTTCTGAAAAATAAGAGGTTCTATATAAATCACTTCTAATCACATTCCAGAACTATAAAATTTATGATTTTATGAAATTTTTAAAAATCACCATAAAACTCACATTAAAAAATTTTATAGCCCAGCTCAAGAAGTGTCATTGAGAATAATGATATCTAAAAAAAAAAAATCCCTAGATGAGTGCTTAATGGCATGAATTCACCAAATATCCCTGGAAAAGAGGCTGCCTTATTTCCTGATCATTTTTACCTCAGAGATTTTTTTTGTGAATGCAAATCCTGGAATCTTCATTTGCAATGAAAGCTGGCTCAGTTCTTTTCCCTTCATCTCTCTAAAAAGAAATTAACTGATTAAGTGCAGAAACAGCGGTGCAATTATTATCACAGGCTATGTGGGGAGATATTTATATCTCATAGAAGATAAACCAGCCCATGAACTTTTAACTGAGCAGTGACTGAATTGCTTTTCATTTCCCTATCAATTTAATCATCTTTTTAACATTCTAATCATACAACAAAATGTCAAAACATTTCAATCATCTTTTTAACATTATAGTCATACAACAAAATGTCAAAATGTACTCTTACTAGAAACAGATCAATTTCTTCTTTTCCCAAACAACAAAAATTTAAATTTTTAAAATCTTGGATGTCTCTTAGATCTTACGATTTTCTTGTAATTCAAATTATTTATTCAATCTTTGCAACAAGTATGTGTTAAGCATTATTTACATATCAGTCCATAGGAGGTTTATAACTTGTGAAGATAACTCAGAATGATTCTAAGTTCCTTTTAAAAGGGACATTATATTTTTACTCCTGTAGATACAGGGTTTTTCGTGAGCCTGTAATATATACTCTGTAAATGCAGAAATGACATTCTATTTTTTAAAGATCTACATTATTATTATAAAGGTGATATACAGAGGGATTACAATTACATGAGTCAGATAATGAGTACAATTCTTTTCATACAGTGTCTTCCGTTCCCTCCCTCTCTCAGTCCCTCCCTCCCATCTCCACCCACAAGTTGTATAGTTCACTTTCATCGATAATCCAGTGAGCATCACTGCTACACTTTTTCACCCTTTTTCCCTCAAGGTTTCCTCTCTCATGTAAATACATCATACATAAATAAGACAGACTAATCAAAAAATTAAAATTAAAAAAAGAGTTCTGTTTTTTATCTTAGAATTCATTTGTATGTGTATAATTTTATATAAATATAAAAGGCATGTAGGGACTGAGCCTTGGTGTTTCTTAGGATATTTTACTTAGCTTATGTTATTTTACAACCGTATCTTCACTTTTCTTTATTATTTTCCCCCACTTTTTTTTTTTAAAGACACAAGGGTCTGATTATGTTACCTATACTGGCCCCAAAGTCCTAGAAACAAGTGATTCTCCTACCTCAGCCTCCCAATTAGCTGGGACGACAGGCAGATAACACTTTCATTATGATAGACTATGTCTACAAAGTGCCTCATTGAATATTACTTTTATTTCAAAAGATTTTATTTTTTATATGTTTGTTATTGTAAAATACTATACAGAGGGGTTATAGTTATATGAGTAAGGTGATGAGTACATTTCCTATCGAGCATTGTTGCCTCCTCCTTTGTTTCTCCCTTACTATCCCTTCCTTCCCCACCTCCCTAATTATTCCCCGCCCTCACTGTCCCCCGCTGAAGTTGTAAAGTTTGTTTTCAACATAATGTCTTGTACATCTCATTGTTACAATGGATCAACCGGTATCCCTATTTAAGCATTCTTTTCCCTTCCCATCCACACATTAGAAAAATATATATACAAGATGCAGGGCACAGCAATCAAATACAGTGAAAACAGGCGTTATATTGTGGAGGAGGAACATACCAAAGAAACAAAAAAAAATCACATAGTACATTAACTCTGCTACCCATTCTACCTTCCATGTAGCTCATATTTAACCCATGTATCTTACTGCTAAGACTATTTGTATTCTCTGCTTCTCATATTTCCTGATGTACATGTTAAACAGGGTTATTTTTTTTTAAATAAAAAAATCAGATGGCTATCATGTCACAGAAATATGGCAGGTCATCCCACTTCAGCAAACTTCTTTGGCTTCTTTTTTCTTCACTGATAGGTAAGGCAAATGAGTTTATTTGTGCCCTTTGTACGATCTCAAACACAACAGTGATACATGAGTCAGCAAATGGGTATAGTGTGGTACAGAGTAATCAAAGCTCCTAAGTTTCTTAGTGAAAATTTATATTCTTGTTGGATACCAGTGACTTATGCCTGTAAGCCTAGCTACTCAAAAGGCTGAAATCCAGCCTGGGCAGGAATGTTAACAAGACTCTTATCTCTAACAAACCACCAAAAAAAAAAAAGTGAAACTTGGCTCAAATGGTATAGCACTATCCATGAGCAAAAAAAAGAAAAGAAAGAAAGAAAAAACAAAGATCAGGGACAATGCCCAGGTCCTAAGCTCAAGCCCCAGGACAGGCACAAAAATAAAAAAAGGAAAATAATTATATTCTTTATATTCTTACCTGATGAGGTAGTTCTAGCTAAGAATGAAGATAACAGGAATGCTTCACTTCACTATAACTACTATCAGAAAAATTTTATAACCAATAAATATGTATATCTAGAATATAAAGGTCATGAATTAACATTATCCAACATAACCCAACATGAAGTCAGTACTTATTCACTTTAAGGACTTCCAAACATATATAACATATATAGTAGGGAAAAATACTCAACATTATTTGAAATGACAATACAGTTTTTTATTGCCTTAGATTTTTTTTTTTGTCAGTCATGGGGCTTGAACTCTAGGCCTGGGTACTGTCCCTCAGTTCTTCAGCTCAAGGATAGAGCTCTACCACTTAAGCCACAGTGCCACTTCTGGTTTTCTGGTGGTTTATTGGAGCTAAGAGTCTCACAGTCTTTCCTGCGTCAGCTGGCTTTGGACCACGATCCTCAAATCTCAGCCTCCCGAGTAGCTAGGATTACAGGCATGAGCCACTGGTACCTGCCAGTGCTGCCTTAGATTATTAAGCAGCTTGCAAAGAAAGTCCGAAATCTAAAATACTATGATCATGAACATTTTGGATAAAGGATATTTAGGAATATACTAATTCATATTCTAGTACATTAATTTTAAGAAATACAGTTTATTCCAGAGAAGTCTAAAAACTATATAGTAACACCTTTCTTAAAACTGGGTTCAACTACAGCAACTAATGACTATTAATCCAGTTATGTTTGTACTTTTGAGTGTGTGTGTGTGTGTGTGTGTGCATGTGTATGTGTGTGTGTATGAGAGAGAGAAAGAGAGAGAGAGGGGGGGGAGAGAGTACTGTGACTTGAACTCAAGAGTCTTTTACTCTCATTTGGCTTTTTTTCCCACTCATTATTGGTGCTCTATCACTTGAGAAACACCTTCAGTTCAGTATCTTGCTCGTTAATTGGAAATAGAGTCTCTCAGACTATTCTACATAAATTGGCTTCAAAAAGCAATCCCCAGATCTCAGCCCCTGAGTAGCTACAATCACATGTGTGAACCACTGGCACCTATCCTATTTGTCTACAAAATGTTATTTATTTACTTTATAATGCAATCACTAATATTTAATATGCTATTAAGTATTTCTTACCTGCCCCTTTCAACAGCCAAAGCATCAAGTTCATCAAAGAAAATAATGGAAGGGGCCACTTGTCTTGCTTTCCGGAAGATCTGGTAGAAAGAGTACCACATTATGCATAGGTTAGCAAACTCTGTAGTTGGTTTAAGTAGGAAAACTATTTAGAACTACTCTGTTCTATACAAATCAACTACTCTGTGTGTTTCGCATAAAAGATATCCAGCCCTTGACAGTAGATGTGACATCAACTTCTTCAATTATGATGACAGAAATAAGACTCCCAACAGCTATTCACATAGACATACAGGAAGCAATGAAGTAAGCAATTAGACCATCTCAATGAAAATCTCAGCCTCATCACTCGATGGTAGGTAAACTTTAGCAGGAATCTGATTTCCCTCAACAGCAATTTCTACAACTAGCAAATGGAGATAGTAAAAAAAAATGCCTAACTCAAAATATTATTTTAAGAAATGAATAACTGAAAGAAAAGAATATACTTAGCCCAAGGCCTGGAACACAGTAAAAGCTCAATAAGTGAGAAATATTATCAATATGTTTAAAAAAAGAAGACCATAAAATCACCCACAGATTAGTATATAAAACACTCCTACTGAAAAGTCAACATTAACACCTTACTCATTTCTTTGCTGATTATCTGGGGAAATAACTGATGATGAAATGCTAGGACAAGAAAAATGGTCACATCTTAGAGAAATACAGACTGGTTCAAGCAGAAGCCAATCAAGCTATCAAAATCAGAGATTGACAAATATGTCTGGAATGCTATAGGGAAATAAGCTACAAAGCAGGCAACATCAGACTATAGGAATCCACACCCATTTTTTGGAGACAAGGGCAGTATGATTACAAAACCTAAAAATAAGCCAGGCACTAATGGCTTAGGTTCTAGCTACTCAGAAGGCTGAGATCTGAAAACCATCGTTCAAAGCCAGCCAGGGCAGAAAATTTTGTGAGACAATATACCACACACACACACACACGCAAATTTTGTGAGACAATATCACACACACACACACACACACACACACACACACACACACACACGCCCAAAGTAGAGGTGTGGCTCAAGTGGTAAAGCATCAGCATTGGCTGAATAAAGCCAAGTGAAAAGTGCAAAGCTGAAAGTCATCAAGCCATTAGTACAAGGAAGTATTGCCATTTTCATGTTGTTATTATTGATTAATATTTTATGAAGTAACCATCTACTATTTTTTTTCAGTACTAGGGATTGAATTCAAGATCTCTGCCATTGTAGACAAGATCTGCTCCACTTGCACCACTCTCCAGCTGTCTGGTATTGTATTTTGTTCCTGAGATAGTGTCTCACTGACTTTGCCAAGAATGGTCTTTTTCCTCTTCCTCCAGCCTCTCCAATTAAGAATTAAGAGTGCACCACCACCCTTAGCCACCCTGTTAAGGAGGGAGAACAACAACAAAAAAAAAACCTTAAAATTTTCCTCATATTCAAATCTCTAATATTTCTGGTTGGTACTCAATTATTTCACCAATGAGGGCTATCTATTCTATTATTATTCGCATGTTCTTGTCCTTAACTTTTTTAAGCATATAGCGACTTATGTGAGGCAGATCAATCCCTGCTTAGAAAACTCAAGACTTGTCATCCATATACTAACTCCATGTGCCTTGACTTTGCACAACATTGCCAGTTAATATAGCTCCCTCCAAATGAAGAAGGTTCATCAAATGAAAGAACAACACCTTACAAAAAGATCAGCAAAATCCAGAAACCTTAGATTTGATTTCAATTTGAAAGCTGAAAATTGACAATTTCAATCAGGAACTAGCCTTAAATGTGGTGTATTTACACAATAGAATTTTATTCATCCATTAGAAAGAATGATATTGGGCTGGGAATGTGGCTTGGTGGTAGAGTGCTTGCCTAGCACTCATGAAGCCCTGGGTTCAATTCCTCAGTAAAATTCCTCACATAAAGAGAAAAGGCCAGAAGTGGCATTGTGGCTCAAGTAGTAGAGTCCTAGCCTTGAGCAAAAGCAGCTCAGGACAGTGCCTAGGCACTGAGTTCAAGCCCCAAAAGTGGCAAAAAAAAAAAAAACAAAGGAAAAGGAAAAGAAAAACAAACAATGATACTGTACCATCTGTACAGAAACAATGATATTGTACCATCTGTAAAGAAATGGAGACTTGAAAAAGATCACGTTAAGTGAAGTAAGTCAGGCCCAGAGAGACAAAGGCTCCATATTTTCCCTTATATGTGGAAGTGACATTGAGCTTACAAACCCATGTAAACCTACTGGGTGGCACGCAAGTATATACAAAAGTATTACTGAAATATGGTTGAGTAAGAAGATCTCAAATTGTGTAATTCCTTAGAAAAGCAAAGTCAAAATTCAGCAAAATAAAACACCAGGAAGCAGGTTCTTGAAATGGATGGGATTGGGCAAGAAGAAAGGGGTAGATGAATTAAGCTGAAAAAAAAGGGAAAATGCAGACAAGAATCCAATGTATATTCTACAAAATTAAGAAGAGTGAGGAAAGGGGAGGGCAGAGGAAGGATGGGTGAGAATGTTGAAAAGAATGACAATGATCAAGATACACTGTATTTATAAACTGCTCTGTATAATCACTTAAAAGAAAATAAATAGATGAATGAATGAATGACTTGGCTTTAGAATGTAGGAGCTAGAAGGATGACATATTGCCTAACCATTAGGCAGATGTAAAATAAGTAGCCAACAGAGTGAACTTTTTGTATAAAGCTTATTCAATTTAAACTATCTACTTTAAAGCACTGAAATGTCATTTTGAGATCCCTTTTACTCCTTTATAAATGCTGACATTTTCATTTCATATAGAGAAATGATAGCAGTACCTAGAAAATACCTTTACTGGGTAAAATAAATGTCAGTTATTATGATCATTAAAAACAAACAATATTATGGCTAGTCAAAAATTGTATTTTGAATAAAATAATATTTGCCTGAACAAAAATATGCCACTAAAACCTGGAATTGGGTATTTCCTAGTCTGTTACCCCAAGCACAATGGAAGCCCTGCAGGAGGGCGTGTGGCCTCCTACACACGGTGCTGGGAAGGCACAATCTTACCTCTCGAACTGCTCTTTCAGATTCACCAACGTATTTATTCATTAATTCAGGCCCCTGCACAAAAAGAAAACAATTCTTGAGTGTCTTTATAAACATAAGCATGCATATTTCTTTTGATGAAGAAAATAAACATAAAAGAACAAAAGGGAACCAAAAAGGTGCTTTAGCTACTACAAAGAAAAGGCTGGAGACAGACATAAAACATGCTTTAATGCTTTATTCATGAACTACTTATATTGTTATGATGTGTTTGTGATAGTGCTAATTTAGAACACCAATGAAGATATAACATCTAAAGAGTCACAGGCCTAACTACTGGCTGGTTCTGAGAAATCTACTTACACATCATATCTAAACCCACTAGATTGATACCTCTCCCTTAGGTACATGAAGCAATCCAAAAATATTCTTGGCTGGGAATCTGACTTAGTGGTCCAATGCTTGCCTAGCATGCATGAAGCTCTGGGTTAGATTCCTCAGTACCACCTAAACAGAAAAAGACCGAAGTGGCACTTTGGCTCAAGTGGTAGAGTGCTAGCCTTGAGCAAAAGCAGCTCAGGGACAGTGCCCAGGTCCTGAGTTCCTGATTTCAAGCCCCGGAACTGCCAAGAAAAAAAAAATATTATTCTTATGTTTCCATGATAAGCCCACCAAAATAAGGTAATGGAACAATGTCATCTCTATTAATATCTTATAGTCTTTAAATGTTTCTAATATCAATGTATACTAATAAACTTAAAAAAAGAAATATCAATGGCATTACTGAAGAATGAGTATAAACTTAAAAAAATGACAAAAGTAATTTCAAAATACCTGGTAATAATATAGGATGTTCTTTCATATCACTTAAGAACTTATTCCAGGAACAGAATATGCTAGGATAACTCTTGCACAGAGATACACAAGGAAACTTAGAGAAAAACAATGCTGAAACACTGCTTACAAAAAAATTAAGTGGTAAATATCTAAAATTACATTAATACAAAAAGTATAAATTATAAACTGCTCATAAAAGCACCAGGGTGTCAACATATGACTGATGGCAAGACAGAGGAAAGAGTCTGCAAGCAGAAAGATCAACAAGAAAGCTGCCAAAGACACTGCTATGTGTTTATAGCCAAAGAGAATTTAAAAAGATTCATAGAAAATTATAATTCTTCGCACTGATTAAGATCATTCCGCATAGTTGCATATTACTTTTACAATTCTGCACTACCATCCACATCAAGCAACACCAACCTGTACCTAAAATTGAATAAGCAAACTGATACTTTTCACTTATATGTGGTAAATTACACTTTTACCTAAATGGGAGCATGAAAAAGGCATTAAGAAAGTGAACAGAACAAGAACCAGGGCCCCACCCAATACAGTAATCCTTAATTAAAAGAGTGAGTTTTTGTTGGAAGTGGGATATGGTAAGGAATTTTTATGCAGCCTTTATTCAGTTTAAGGCAAACTAATTAGGAAAGTTGTGTCCTGACAAAGATCAGAAAGGAACTTGGTGGTGTCATTGTTTTTATTATATTTATATGCTACTCTGTATTACCAGTGCTGTTCTATTTTTTTTTTGGGGGGGGGTTCTGTTGTGGGGCCTGAACTCTGGGCCTGGGTGCTGTCCCTCAGCTCTTCAGCTCAAGGCTAGCACTCTACCACTTGATTTTTGCTTATGTGGTACTGAGGAATCAAACCCAGGGCCTCATGCACGCAAGGCAAACGCTCTACCACTGAGCCACCTTCCCACCCCCAGTGCTGTTCTTCTAACAACTTTCCATTAAAGTTAAGGGTATGAGGGCTGGGAAGTTGGCTCAGTGGCAGAGCGCTTGCCTTGCATGCCTGAGGCCCTGGGTTCGATTCCTCAGCACCACATAAGCAAAAAGAAAAAAGCCGGAAGTGGTGCTGTGGCTCA